GGGCTCGGGAGCGGTCCGGCCGCCCCTTCCCCCGCCCTGCCCCGCGTGCGGGCCCCTGGCGCGGCCCCGAGGACACGGCGGCGGCCGCGGAGGGAGCCCGGCTGCGGCCGGCCTGTTCCCGGCCCAGGGAAGGAGGCGGAGGGCGGCGCTCTCCTAACGGCCCCCTCCAGCTGGCACCCGAGGGGGGGTTTAGGCACATGAACCAAGCGATTGCCAGTGTTTTAGGGGAAAAACCTGTATGAAACKTGCATAGCGTCGCACACTAGTAGTCCTGTGGGCTTCGACGCTGGGCACTTGCTGCGCGGGTGTTAGGAACAGGTTAAGTCCTGCCCCAGACCAGGTGAGGCTTTTGGAAGCGGTTTCAGAGGAGCGGTGCTGCACTTKGGTGCCAAGGAGGGGCTGGGGAGTGGGAAAAACCCTCCTGTTCGTGCGTTGTGCCAGGCCGTGTTCTTAGTTAGTGCTGTTTGGACTGCTAAAATACTGCTAAAACCAGCCGAGTTATTGACGTGTTTGCCATGCTGAAACTTTCAGTAACCCAAAGGAATAGGCTCTGTTTTAATCATCATCTAAATTTATCCATTATAGAAATGCCTTTGCCGCCATCTCCAAGTGCAGATTCCGTATTAGCAGTCTCCATTGAGTGTTTAGATATTAAATACTTAGTTTTCACACACACACACACACACGAACACACGCGCACACACACTTTTTTTCTTTTTTTTTTTTTTTTAAGTCCAAGGCAAGGGGAGCGGAACGACGCTTCGGCCCTGATCCTGCACAGAGATCCCAGCACATATAAGCATTGCTGTTGACATGAGGCTGTGGTTCGGCACCACAGAAACCAACAACAGGCCTCCTGTTGCTCAGAATAGGCCTCAGAAATGCCGTGGCCACGAGAGGCAACGTGCCAGCCCGGTGCTCCGGCCTTCTGCCCCATCAACTCCGTTCAAGAAGTTTCTGACGGGTTAACTTTGGGCCAGCGGGCTCTCTGCTGGATCAGGTATCACTGTGTGCAGCTGTAGCCAAATCAGGTGTCCTCTGCACCCCTGCAGTCGTGGAGCCAGCATAGAGCTGCCCCCCACTCCATGGTGTGGGCTCCGGCGCACGCAGAGGTGGCATYGTGTGCTGGGCCCCACCAAGCTTGTGCTCCTAGGGGCTCCCGCGACGTGCGGGTCTGGTTTAGGTGATCGCAGAGCCACGGCCTCACGCAGGCACTGGAGCAGGACTCACCCGSCGCTGGTTACCTGCCCAGCGTCGTTTTTGCCTTTATTCATTTATTTATTTTCCCTGTGCCGGCGGGGGAATTTATTCATGTATTTTCCCGGGACAGCGGCRCGTGCCGTGTTTCACAGAGCCGGTCGGGGCCGTGGGGCCGCTCGCGAGGCGCTCGGGCGCTGCAGACGGGAGGCAGCCAGCGCAGCCAAGGTGGTGCCGGCGTATCTCGGCGATTGCTGCATTACTCATAACTGGCACAGCGACAAGCGAGTTACACAAGTCACTCGCAAAGAGTGCTAATGAAGGCTTTTACCGTGTTATCCTGCGCTTGGTTACGGAAACTTGCCATGGGAATAATTCCATAATTCCTGTTTTCAGGCCTTCTACCYTGAAATCACTGTTGAGGGAAGGGGAAAAGGCACACTCTTGAAGGAATAGAGACTTACTTTAAATATTTTTTTTCTTTATACTTTAGCATACTGCATGTTTAGTGCCTGTTGTGCGTAATCAACAAATGATGAAATAGAAATAGAATAATAGAATAGAAATAGAATAATAGAATAGAAATAAATAGAATAATAGAATAATAGAATAGAATAATAGAATAGAAATAAATGATGCACTTTTTTGGAGGCTGTGAAACCTCCAGTGTCACAGGTTGTACTTTGAGGGTCTACCTGTGCTTCATTTGAGCTAGTGGGATTTAGAGGTTACAGGAAATCACCCTGGAATTTGGACTCATGATCCTAATCTACTGTGTTTGAGGGGGGGAAGACAGAAAGTGTTTCTGTAGTAGGTTTTTAATTGTCTTCTTTATCTACATGATAAATATTTGGAAACTGAGGTTTAGAAAGTAAAAGTGCGCAGAGAAGGGCAGTTTCTCTCACGGTTGCTCCGTTGATTTTGCATTTCCAGGAGTAAAGAAACGTGGGCCGTGTTTATCATGATCTCACGTGGTATAAATAGGAGGTGGTAATCACCATGTGATAAACTGCATTTTATTAAAAATCTCTGCCTGCCTCACATGCACTCTGACCGCTAATCTATCCCCCTGGAACCATTTCCAGCATTCCAGCCCCTTGAWCAGCTCCGAGCAGCCGCTTTCTCCTTTTGAAAGCACTTGCCAGATAAATGCTTCATTTTCTTTTTTTACCTTTTCCCTTTTTTCTCCCAGTTACCCTGGCGTTGGGCAGGGGCTGCCCGGTTTTGCTTGGCAGGGGTTCRGGAGGATCTGCCTAACTCCCTTGCGGCGGCCGCAGTGGGAAGCGACACGCGCCGAGAGCGGCACCGTCGCCACTCCCGCACCTCGCCTTGCGYGTCCGGACCTGGGGTCCGGCGGCCCTTTCCGCCGTCTTTCGTCTCACTCTGGCCTCCTTCGCTCCTTTGGCTTCTTAGTTTGTAGGATAACATTTCTTTCCCCTCACCCCCGCCCTTTTTCCAGGCCTGTTTTAAATTAACCATTTAAGAGATAACAAATACAGATTCCTTCCCTCCCGTTCCTTTCCTTTGCCGCTCTGCTCCATGTGCTTTTTCTGCATTTTTAAAGCTTCAGCCGCGGAGGAGAAGATTGCTAGATTTATCCACAGGAATCTGCCTGGCATTTGGCTTTTTCTCACTGGCCGGCAATCCTGCTGATTGCAGGACGGCAATGACACCAAACCACTTAAACAATAAAGCCAGTGGTCTTCAAACACTTCCCTCCCTTTTGATCCATTCAACCTTAAATTGGTTCCTAAAGCCATATATCCCCCCACCTTGCCCAGCTGACCTTACTGGTTCCGCTGCGCTGGCCGTCTGGTCTCCTGCCTTCCCTGTGCCCTGCGGCCACTGCCACCTCGTGGGTTGTCCCCTCTGGCAGACCAGGCAGCGTCTCCCACCGGAGCAGGAAAGACTGCGGATCTGCTGCCCGCGCAGCTCAGATCCGTATCCTTCAGCTCCTGATGGCCGAGCTTGCAGGAGGCCTGTTGCGGAGCTAGGAGCSCACGGGACTCCTCAGTCAAGCCGGCAGCGCTGGAGATCAAGGCTGTTGTTTAAAAGTCGTGTGGTCGGACCAGATAGTGTGAAGGAAATGCAGCAAGTGTAACGTGTTCCTCTTGCCTTGCCCGCTTCCTTCAAAGGGGGAAACGGTGTTTTTACTGTACTTTGCTGTACATTGCAGGTACYGTGACCCTGATGTGCTGAAGTGCTACCCACAGCTGTATTTTAGGATTAGGCAGTTCCGTCTGAACAAAGCGGTTCTGATCTGCCATTTATTTCCTGGTGTCAAGGTGGGGGGGGTATTTTYGTTCAAAATACAGTATACTGATAATATTTAGGCAGATGCTGGGGTGAAAATCAGAGCTGATGTCTCAGTGCAAACCATGTCTCTAAATTTGAGCCTGTGTGTTTTTATTTTTTCTTTTTATTTAATTTGGATTTTGATTTTACATATAGGTCAATAGCTGGCAGGAATATAACTGTATATGAGGGAGAATGGTCAGAGGGTATAAAACATGGGATTTCTAGTTAATATTTCCAGTTTTGCCATTAACTTGTTCAGTGACCATTGCTGCTGTAATAGACTGAACCATCTGTAGATGAAGGGATGTGTGAAGGAGCAAAGCACCATGTTACGGTGTTGGCTCTTGGGCTCCAAGTCGTGTACCTGTCACATACAGCTCCTCTGCCCACGTGTGACGGGGCCGTCTGGTGGTTGGACACAGTGACCCGGGCCCGTGCCCACAGGCAATTCCCTGCTCTGCTGCATGGAGTTGTGTGCACGACAGTTGGAAAAGGAAGCGTTTTGAGAGTGCAGGAAGCAAAACCTCAAGCCTGAGTGTTTGCAGTTCGTCGCAGTGAGCGCTGCTGTGAGTGTTGAGCCTCGGCGTGCCTCTGGTAGCAGTGCCAGAGAAGATGGGGATATCAAAAAGGATCTGATGTAAGCATTATTAAAAGCAGAGTGGTGCGAAAACA